GCCTTATTTAGAATCAGTCCAGGAGAAAACCATATCTTCATGCCCAATTGCTTATCAGATGGTGTCTCCGGTACAAGAAGCTTTTTTGAAGTTTCTTGTACAGATGAGTAAAGCTACAAGAGTGCTGGAGATTGGAGCTCTCACTGGTTATTCGGCGTTGTGCATGGCTGAAGTCTAAAAGAGCGAGGATCAGAGGCAAAAATAGTTACGTTAGAAAAGGACGTAGAGAATTTTAAGGTGGCAAAAGAGAACATAGAATCTTCAGAACTTGGACACCTGATTTAGCTGAAACTTGACGACGCAGTTGATACGTGAGTGATTCTATCTTCATCATTATAAATAAAATTAATAAGCGATATTCTTAAAAAAATCTTTAGGCTTTCAAATTTGAATAATTCGGTACAATTTGACCTGATATTTCTTGGTATGAAAATTTTTTTATTTTTAAATAAGATAAATACGTTTGTTAATATTAGTTAATATTAACAATTTAAGTAATTTTCTTGTCGGAAATTAGATGCTGATAAAATAAATTATATCTTATGATGGATTTATCGTTGTTGATAATGGTTTGATTAATTTTCATTTCTCGTTAAATGGGAGCTGACTTGAAATTAAGTTTAGATATGGATGAAGTTTCATATTAGTGCTATTATTGTCAAGATCCGAACAAATTCATGTCTAATCTGCTAAATTTTGATTGCTCATATGCCTGTCTCCAGTATTTAACGACTACTATTGACAAACGCATGTTGCCGGTAATGGGATTTCTATATTAATTACACATACAGTTTGGTTGGTACTCTACGTGAAATGTTACTTTATGCCCCATTAAAAATACTGAAGTCGTTCTGATCTTTTTTTAAAAGGAAAACTAGTCAGGACATGGGTTTATTACCAAGTTCTAAATTTAATTAAGAAATTTCAAACCCATTTAAATATAAAACTGACATTTCCTAATTATAAAAAAAAATTATATTTTATTTTTAACAGCATTATCTGAAGGACTTGTAATACAAGTGGCCAAAGGAGAAGACCTCAGTCAAATTCCTGACTGGGCTAAATACATGCATGCATTTAACGAATACACCGCCAATGATCAACGAACTACACAAATACTTTTAGCGTGCTTTGATGGAGTTTTGTTAATTCAAAAAAAAAAAACCTTAATATGTGAATATAATCATCAAAATCAGTTATGATCCACAAAGCTGTTTACAAATTTTATATTAACAATATACAGTCAAGCCTCAGTTATATATCCCCTATTTCAGTATTTAGAAGAATAAATATCCTAGATTTGTTACAATTTACTTTATTTATATCTAAATTCTTTGGACAAAAGAATGATATAACAGAGGTTTGACTGTAGATTAAAGGTTACAAATACTAACTCTGATAAAAAGTTTAATGTTAAATGTAAAATTGTTGTACCCGAAGTCAGTGTTGTACATTTTGACTGTCTCAAACTTTTTGACCTTTCCAATTTCGAAAAGCATAGGTACGATTGGTCATGTGATTGGACGTTAGTTAGGGTCATATGATGATCATTAATTTCGGATTTTTTAAAGGGTTATTTCACATATAAATTTGTACTAATTTAGGTACATTTTTCTACACAACCAACAAACAAAATTGTATAAGTTTTTTTTTAAAACTGTAGTTCTAGACTAGCTCTACACTGTAACAGAACCGGTTTTTAATAACTTTTAATAAAATTTTGGTTTAATTTTTATTAATAATTAACATAGGTTATTAAAAAAAACCGGTTCTGTTACAGTGTAGAGCTAGTCTAGAACTACAGTTTAAAAAAAATATGGTACAATTTTGTCTGTTAGTTGTGTAGAAAATGTACCTAAATTAGTACAAATTCATATATAAATTTATACGTGAAATAACCCTATAAAAAATCCGAACTTAATGACCCTAACTATGTTTTAATTAATTAGTTTATTGAACACCCTACCGGAACGCCAAAGGTGCCGGAAATAAATTCAATTAAAGGACTTTAAGTCCGCAGAATACATTGTGAATAATTTGAACTGAAACGATGATATGCTCCCGTGAAAATTAGCAAGTGAGATTGTGCCCAGATATCATCGCAACAGTAGAATGAGTGAGAAGCAGCATCAGCCGGTGGTTTTCCACCTGCTCAAAGCCGGCTGTTAAATAGGAAAATGGCAGAATCAGGAGAGTGTTCAAAAAATTCAGATGTCCTGATTTTGCCATTGTCCTATAAGCTGCCCTTATTTGACGTCTGGGATGCGGTCGTGCAGATACATGCATGTTTTGACATTGTTGCTTAAATATATATTTCATTGCACTGTTAGTACCTATTGTGCACATTGTCGGAGGCTAAATGGGAGACAATACAGATTAAACAATCACCCAAAAACACACAAACTCAACCCACACCTCTCGATATACTCGATTGGTAGAGGCGGTTTTGATTTGGCAAGGTAAGGCTAAATCGGGCATATTGTGGGTTTTAGACTATTGATTTTTACTTATTTAAACACACTTGATTCCTTTTTTTTTTTTTATTAGAGGGCAAAAAGAGCCCATATTATTACAATATACATGCGGGAGAAGAATTAAAGAAAAAGAACTTTTCTAATCTAAACCCAAGCCCAACATGTCACTCTACACCAGGCCATGCCATCAAAGCTTTGCCTTCTCCAGATAAGCTTTTGGCACTGCCCAAGCCCGAATTGGTTCAATCCTGATTTTTTTTTCTTTGTAGCTTTTTGCCACATTTTTACCACATTTCAGCTGTGGTCACAGCCACCATTTCCTGGAAGCTTTGGTTTGGGTCTTCATCATAGTTTTAGACCTTGTGATGCCAATTTTGATGTAGTAAGTTTTGATAATTTTGCCTCTGACAGTTCTCCCTGACTAATTTTTTACATCCTGTGAAAAATCAGCTTGGCCTGGGCATTTTTCTTACCCTTGAAAACTTCACTAAATAAAACTAATCTGATTTATTTTTTTATTTTATTTTTTTACCTATACAATTTTTCTAAATTTTTGACCATGCCCATTTTAAGGCCTTTTGTTGGGAGGCCAACTTCGATTGTCTTTCTCCAGGATCATATACCTGGGTTTTGTCTCACTATGATAAGTATAGAGCGACCTTATTCATTAGGCTCTTTACTATATATTATGTTAGCTTTTATCTAATTTGCTAGACTTTTTTCTTAACTTTACCTCTTTTTAGCTTCATTTGGCAGACCAGTTCTGATCCTGGCCCTTACAACATGCACATTCTGGGGCTTCTTCTTTTTCTCTACATTGATTTCAAAGAGCTCTTTTACCACTTGACCAGGGCAACATTAAGGTTAGGACAAATTTGCCTCTTTTGAATTTGCTTAATTTGCCTATATTTTCTTCTAAAAATTCAGTCACAATTTTCTTCTAGTTTTTGCTAGCTTTTTCAAGACTTATTCCATTTTAATCACAGGGCCAACTAGGGTTGAATTGTCCATCTTCAGCACTATTTGAATACCTTGTTCTTTTTAATCTCAACTAACTTGATACATTTCTTCAATGTTATCCAACTTCACAGATCTTTAATAATGACCAGATACTTATTTTTATCTTTTTCAGCCTCAACTCCATTTTGATTACAATACCCAATACACCTCGACTTCTGCAAGTTCTGTTTCAGTAAGTTTTTTCACTCCATTTTTTTTATTTTACTCATTCATCTGTTGAAATTCTTCAACTCTATGCATTTATAACTCACAGGCTTTTCAAGGTTGTCTTTTCCTGAAAAAAGTTTATCTTTCAACATTCTGGTCCATCAAGATTTTTGTCTTCAGCAGCTTTTGAATACTGTTCCAACACTTTCTTTTTATTCTTTTTAACTACTATTCCACTTTGACAACAAAATCAGTCTGAATCAAATTGACTTTTTGAATCATTGCCTTTAGCAACTTTTAGATGCCATTTTGAAACTTTGTATACCTTTTAGCAACAAACAATTGCCTTATAATCATCCTTTTCATTGCCAGTTTGATTTTTTTCTAACTCTGCATTATGGTCACAACTGTTTCTTCAAATTTTGCAGGTACATTTTCTTTTTCTTTTTCTCTTTTTGCTTGATTTTATCTCTTTTTGTATGTGATCTGAATTGGTTGATTTCTGATAAATAAATATCTTATATTCATTCTTTACCACTTCGCCTCTTTTTTTTTATATTTAACATTTTCATCCTTTTTAACTTCACTTTCACTTTTATCTTTTTAAACTCCTTTGTCATTATTTTTATTTATTTTAACACTAATTCTATTTCTTTTTTCATAGCAAGATCCAACTAAACATAATCTATTAGTGCTTTCTATTCCTGTAGATGTTTGATAAGGTTTGTATATTTTGTTTTTATTCTTTTTAGCTAATTTCAGAGAGAAATCAGATGCCTTATATGTATTCTTTTTTCTTCAATTCTTTTCTTTTTGTTATTCTTCTTAGCTCCAATATCTTTATAGTGACGTCCAACTGGATCATTTCTTCGGCAACTCCCATTTCTGCTGATTTTTAATAATAAATAAATCTCTTATTCTTATTTTTTTTAACACTAATTTTATATGAAAATTTTGAGACAACTTCTTCTAGAGCCCATTCTCACACAAAAGTGTCACATATGGCAGCAAGGTTTTGAAAAAAGATTTCCAAGTCAGGTTCTTCTTTGAAGTAAAATAAACTATCTTTAAAGGGTTCTTCTGGAATGTAGTATGTGCTAAAGGCTTCAAATATAGTGGGTTTTGGTTGTTTGGCATCATGGGGACTTCTGGTGTAGGGTCTATAGGAAACAAGAGAAAAAACTATTTATTTTCTTTCATGGGTGGGTTATTTAAATATAGAGCAGTAGATATACAATTTTCTTAGCTTGTTCTTCAATACCAAGATATACAACTTTTTCTTTTCAGGTTATCTAGGGATATCATGTTGAATAGAGATGGTTAAGTAAACAGAGTTATGTATACTTTTTTGTAGGGGAACTAGTACACTATATCTTTTACACCTTTTTTGTCTTCTTCATCTTCCTAGGAAATTATATTTTCCAATACTTCTAACACAAATTTTAGAGCTTGTGGAAGTTGTCTATTATCAAAGTGGTGAATTCTGAAGGCTTTCTTGACAATTTCTTGCACTTCATCTGCTTGTTTTTTGGTAAGTGTAGTGAAAAGGGCAGCACACTTTTTTTTTAGATAAATCACTTGCTGGCACCTCTAATGATATAATATCTTTCTCTACAATAGGAGTATATAGTTTCTCATTGAGAATATCATGGCGCTTGCTTAGGTTATGTCTTTAGTCTTCAAGGTGCATTAAATATTGGTACCAGGTAAATATTATATATCTTTTCTTTCTAAATTTGCAGCATGTTCTAAAAAACTATATAAAAAAACTAAATAGACATAGCTTATCAGTTCTGGTTTCTTAATAAACAAATAAATACACTATTCTATTAGTGTCTCAAAAAACTAAAAAAACAAATAAGGAAATTACAGAATTCAGGTAGAATCTCACAGTCACCATCACAATTGTTGTAGGCTAAATGGATGATAATTCAAACTAAACAATTATCTAAAAATACACAAACCTAACTCACATCTCTCAATATACTCGATTAGTAGAGGCAGTTTTAATTTGGCAAAGTAAGGCTAAATTGAATATATTATAAATTTTGAATTATCAGTTTTTACTTATTTAAATATATTTGATTCCTTTTTTTTATTAGAAAGCAAAAAGAGCCCATATTTATACCAAATTTATATATGAGAGAGAAGAATTAAAAAAAAAAACTTTTTTAATCTAAACCTAAGCCCAGCATACTACTCTATACCAAGCTGTACCATTAAAGCTTTGCCTTCTCCAGCTAAGCTTTTAGCACTGCCCCAAGCCTAAATTAGTTTAATCCTGATTTTTTTTCTTCATCTTTTTGCTATATTTTTGCCATATTTAGCTGTGATCATAGCCACTATTTCCTAAGAGCTTTGGTTCAAAACCTTATTATAGTTTTAAATCTCATGATGTCAATTTTGATACAGCAAGTTTTGGATTTTGACAGCATATATCATTATTGTTAATAAATATACATATATATTCTTTCTTTTCTTTTTTAATTTTTTTTCTTTATATTGCTTGCTGCTTGAGGCATTTTGTTAGTGTGAGAGAAAAGTCTTTCTTGGTTGGTAGAGTGTAATTGAGTGCTTAGAGAAGCCCAATAGATTATTAATAAGGGTGCTAAATTATAGTATGCCTTAATTAGTATTGTCAAAGAGTTAAGTAATTGCTAAAATAACTACTATCTACTTTAGATAGCTTTTACTCTATTTTGGTCTTGCTTGGTACTAGAGATACTCTTCATTTTTATATTAAATAATACACATCACACTATATATAATTATTTTCTTTAACAATTCATTTATTACTTTTACTAATTAAAAGACTGTTGAATTTTTTATTTACATTTTACTATTTATGCTATTCAAGTAATTATATATTTCATATTACATTTTAATTATTTCTTTGTTATTAATTAATTAAACCTTTATTGTTTCTAACTAATCATTATATTTATTATTTGATAATTAAGATATCTATTGTATCTAGTGATGTATTATTTATATAATGTCTAATTTTTTTAGCATACAGTACTTATATAATAAAGTTGCTTTATAATTATATTGTAATTTTTTTAATATTAGTCTATATTACTATTAATATGATATTTAATCTATTTTAATAAATAAATATTTATTATATCAAATTAGTAAAATATTAATATTTAATTAAATATTAATTTATTTAATTGATGATCTGGATAAGATCGGCATAATTACTATATTGGGACAATAGTTAATTTTGGGGATAAGTACAATATAACTTTTTATTATATGCTAAAATCTGAGCGGAGTCGAATGAAAAGTATTTTTTTTATTAAGTTAACAACTAAAGTCAATTAATTAAAAGTTGTAGATCTCACTGAGACGCATCTAATGGTGGTTAAATTGTCCAAATCGGCCTGGTGAATACCGAGATATTGCTAAAAAATGACTGATCGACTATATAAAATTTTATATAAACAAAGTATTGTTTATATAGAAATTTTATATAGTCGGCCAATTATTTTTTGGTGATATTTCGGTATCCACTGTGTCAATTTGAACGATCTAACTACCATTAGATGCGTCTCAATGAGCTCTACAACTTTCAATTAA